ATCACCTGAGGTCGGGAGTTTGAGGCCAGCCTGACCAACATGGAGAAACCCTGTCTCTACTAAAAATACAAAATTAGCCTGGCCTGGTGGCACATGCCTGTAATCCCAGCTACTCGAGAGGCTGAGGCAGGAAAATTGCTTGAACAAGAGCAAAACTCCATCTCAACAACAACAAAAAAGAATAATGAAATCAAAACCACAATAAGATATTACTTCATACCTACTAGGATGGCTTTAATAAAAACAAAAACCTGGAAAATACGTGTTGGCAAGGATGTGAAGAAATTGTAAACCTACATTGCTGGTGGGAATGTAAAATGGTACAGCTGCCATGGAAAACAATGTGGAAGTTCCTCAGAAAGTTAAACATAGGTTTAACTTTGGTTCGATCCTTCTGCTCCTAGGCATATGCCCAGAAGATTTCAAAACAGATACTCAAACAAAACTTGTACATGAATGCTCATAGCAGCACTACTCACAATCACCAAAAGGTGAAAACAACCCAAAAGCCCACCAACTGATAGATGTATAACCAAAATGTGGTACAACATATATAATGGATTTTTATTCATCCATAAAAAGGAGTGAAGTGCTGACGCATGCTACAATATGAATGAACCTCAAAATCACTATGCTAAGTGAAATAAGCTGGACACAATTGTACACATACTGTATGACTCCATTTACATGCAATATCCAGAATAGGAAAATCCATAGAGATACTACATTACTGGTTACCAGGGCCAACAGAGAGGGAGAGAATGAGCAGTGACTGCTATTGGTTACAGGCCTCCTTTATAGAGTGTAGACAAGGTTCTGAAATTAGATAATTGTGATGGTTATACAGTATTGTGGATATAACAGAAATCACTGAATAGTGCACTTAATTTTAAAAAATCATAATAGCTACTATTCCACAGTACATTCTCTCTACAAAGCATCATTCTGAGAAGCTAGCTTCACATCCAAGGTCCAATACTTATAAGCTGGATGCCTTTAAGTAAATTAATCTCTCTGTGACTCAATAATATCATCGGTAAAATGTGGATAAGAGTATTTACCTCTACATTTAAGAGAGTTAAATGTGTTAATATTTCATGTTACTTTGCACCACCCTTTGTATATATTAACAGTATATATTGAATAGTAAGAATTAGCTAAGTGTTAACTATTATCATTTCAATTAATCCTCACAACAATTCCATGAAGTAGGTACTTTCCATTATTCCCGTTTTATAGATGAGAAAACTAAGGCACAAGGAGATTATGGAACCCACCAAGTTAGTTATTTAGCAAGTGGAAAGCAAAGCCAGCAGTCTGACTTCAGGGTCCCTGCTTCTCAGCTGTTGCCATGCTTGACACAAATCTGGTATAACAAACTCTGAAATTAATAGCTATTTTTTGCCTATGCTGAGATTTAATTAGGTATTTAAGGTTTTCAAAAAGTAGATCAATTTAATTAAGCATGTTAAGTAAATACCATCATCTCTGGTACCCAGATACGGCAAAACTTGCAAAGGGACACCTGAATGACTCAGGTTTAGAAAACATTGGTAAATCATGGAAATCTAAGATGTGACAGAACACATCCATACTCTTACCAATATACTAGGTAGACTACTGCACACCTTGATTAAACCCTGTATGGATTTCTTGTGTGATAACACCCCAGGCAAAAATTGTTCACCGAGTATGGAGCCCAAAGAGAAGAACGCCCGCAGAACTCAGCAGGGGCCAGCCTTCGGAGGAACTGTCTTATTTAAAATCAGAAAGGCTGTGGGGTTATAACCCTTGAAATCTTTTTGGAAGTGAATACAAGGCAGGAGGTCTCATTCATTAGGCACAGTAGGCAAAGTGCCCGAGGCTCACCGCACTTTTAGGAGCCTATGAAAATGTCTTAACTGACTGGGCGTGGTGGCTCACGCTTGTAATCCCAGAACTTTGGGAGGCCGAGGAGGCAGGGTGTTAGAGACCAGCCTGAGCTACTTAGCGAGACCTCGTCTCTACTAAAAAACAACAAACAAATTTGCGGAGAGCAGTGTCCCTTGTGCCTGTAGTATCAGCTACTCAGGAGGATCGGGATCACTTGAGCTGGGGAAATAAAGGCTGCCGTGAGTCCTGAGGGCATCACTGCACTCCAGCCTGGGCAACAGACCAAGACTCTGTCTCAGGAAAAGAAAGACCAGAAAAGAAAAAGAAAGAAAAGAAAAGAAAAGAGAAAATGTCTCAATCTCTTTTAAAATCATAAGAAAAAAATAATATAATCCATCGCAAATTATATTCATCCTTATACAAACACAGCTGTAAAATATAATTAATTTTTTTATGGAAGAAGGGGCCCAAGAAGGCAAAAGGGGCTAGGGCCCACGAAAGTCATAATGTGGCCCTGACTTGAGGATTAGCGTTAGGGTGAGAGTGAAGGTGAGCTTCAGGACCTCTCCCTCCTGACCAAGTCTTCCAGACACCAGCTCAGCAACTAGTGCATGCCGCATCTTGTCCTGTTAATATCCTCTCCGTGTTGAGCAAACGTGAAGAGGTGGTCTAGGGGAACCCAGCAGTGCTGGATCCCAATCCTGTGGTTTAGGGAGATCCAGCTGAGGCCCTGGAGCAAGGGGAAGAGGCCTGAACTAGTGCAAGAGAAGGAGGAGACCCCTCACACCCAGGAATTGTAAAGACTATGCCTCTCCCAAATGGCATCTCCTCCTATTCCTACCTGAAATCCCACTATTATTTACTCCTTTGAATTAAGACAGCAGTAACAGAGTGAAAAGTGCACACATTCTGTAGTTAAAACTCGCTTGTATTGCCATTGGCAAGCTGCCTGGCTCCTTGGGGCCCAGTCTTCTGTATTTAAAAAAACTGCAGGATGTTAATGATGATTATCAAGGTGAAAGTAAGATAAATCGTGTACAGTGGCAAGCATGGGGCCCATTATTAACAGAGTTTTTATTCATTTATTTATTTTTCTTTTTATTTTGTTTATTTATTTAATTATTTATTTTGAGACAGAATCTCGCCCTGTCGCCGGTCGTCAAGCCGGAGTGCAGCCGCGCGATCTCGACTCACTGCAACCTCCGCCTCCCGGGTTCAAGCAATTCTCCTGCCTCAGCCTCCCGAGTAGCTGAGACCACAGGTGCGCGCTACCACGCCCAGCTAATTTTTGTATTTTTTAGTAAAGACGGGGTTTCACCATGGTCTTGATCTCTTGACCTCGTGATCTGCCCGTCTTGGCCTCACAAAGTACTGGGATTACAGGCGTGAGCTACCGCACCCGGCCCTTACTTATTTATTTTTGAGACAGGGTCTGCTGTCATCCAGGCTGGCATGCAGTATCCTGATTATGGCTCACTTCAGCCCTGACTTCCCCGGCTCAAGCCATCCTCCCACCTCAGCGTCCCGAGTAACTGAGTCAACAGAGTTATTTTCATAATATTAAGGATACTAACACGTCCTGGAGAACCTGCAAACACTTCTTGGGGGAAGAACCACACAGCCTTCAATCGTAGCCCAGGCATTTTAAATTTGATACATCACTGGGGAGCAAGAACTCAGGAAGATAGTTCTAGGAAAGGGGAGGGAAGAAGGAAGAAGTGATAGTAAGCAAAGCGGGAACTCTCCCAGGTCTACGGCACAAGCCCGGGAAAATACGCGCAATTTAGGAGACTGCAGAACGGACTTCTGCAAAGCGCGCTGCAAGCCTGTAATCCCAGCACTTTGGGAGGCAGAGGCGGGCGGATCACAAGTTCAGGAGTTTGAGACCAGCCTGACCAACATGGCGAAACCCAGTCTCTACTAAAAATACAAAAATTAGCAGGCGTGGTGGCGCGTGCCTGTAATCCCAGCTGCTCAGGAGGCTGAGGCTGGAGAATCGCTTGAACCCGGGAGGCGGAGGTTGTAGTGAGCGGAGTTCGCACCACTGCACTCCAGCCTGGATGACAGAAAAAAAAAAAAAAAAAAAAGCGCAGCAAGTGCGGCGCATCAAAATACGGCACCATCCTCCCCCTCCCCCTCCAATAGTGTAAACGTTCTCCGATGCACTATGCACTTAGCAGATTTGTATACTTGCACTCTGACATGAGTTAATTACTGAAAATCTTAAATCCTTGGAGCTTTCTCAAAAAGCACGTTAGATTTCTTGCAGCGTGTACCTGAGCAACGGATTGCTCTTCAAATCCAACCCCAAATTCCCGCTCCCGGAATGCATGGTGGGTTCTGAATTCAAAAACCCAGAGCACGCAGCATTCTAGTCAATCATTGCACTGTATCAGTATCCTGACTTTGGCGGGAACTGTGCAGAACTAGATAGTCCTATCCATTTGTCACCAATTTCTAGCAGGGGAAAGTCGTGCTCAGAACCCAATTGCATGGTAGACTAATAAGTTCAGTTTCGCATGTTTGGGCTGCTGTATGCTCCGCACTTTCCTTAACGCCGTTTCTCGATGTTTTGCGTGAGGAGAGCAAAGGTCGCCGCTCCAGGCACGTGCGGCGGTGTAGCGAGTTGGGCGGAGGAACACTGCCAAAATACCTCTCCGCGGGCTGGTGTGCAGTCTCACCCCACCCCCTCGCCCCCAAATCGGCTTTCACAACCCGCTGCTTTTTCCAATCCGTGTCTCCGGTCAAGTTGGAAGTAGTTAAGCTGCAACTTGGAGCTACTGTTCCCGCGCAACATGCACACTACCCCCACCACGGTCGCGCACGGTCGCCCTATTTTTTGCATACCCTGGCCACGAATGCGTCCCCTTGGGGTCGCACTTACAACTAGATGTACCGTGAATGCTAATAGGAGGCGTCTAACCGACGCGTGTGCGCACGCTTTGAACCTGTGGAAGGCACTGTACCGCTATATAAGGGCGCGCCAAGTGCCAGACGGCGCCAGAAAGAGGTCCCGGCGCCAGAGAAGCGGTCGCCCGAGCCATTGGTCACACTTGCAACCCCGGGATCGCCGGGGAACCCCGGGCAGAGTCTGCAGAAGCTCACGACTTGATCGACAGCGCTTGAGAATGGAGTCTTATCGCGGGTACGCCCACTGGGATAGCGGCTACCGCAGCCTGGCAGTCGGCGACGACGCCGAGGACGCTGAGGAGAATGGTTAGTGCTTGGACAGGGGCCGGAACTTTCGTGAACTCCAGAAGAGGAACTTTTCCCTGGGAAAGGGGAGCGGATGGGACGCGGCGCGGCTATCACAGTTGCTCCTCGATAGCGGGTCCCCTTCCTCCTCCAGCCCACGCGCCACGGGTTCCAGCCCCCTGGTGTGTCTCATTTGCTTTCCTCCCTTCCCAGGTGAGGAACTTACCGTGACCTCGCTGCTGGCAATGGGAGGAGAGGACGAGGAGAATGCATACTCCGAACCTGAGTACGGAGCAGAGGCAGAAAACATCCTTAGCACCGAAGGGTCCGTCCCCTCAGACGACCGAAATGGTGAAGGTGGCTACCGCCACCAGCCGGAGCAAGCGCAGGAGGAGCCGCCTCACGCGGCCGCGGAGGGGCCACAGCCGGCGGAGGGGCCACAGCCCCCAGAGAGGAGACGCCGCCGCCGCCGCACCACGTTCACCCAGTTTCAGCTGCAGGAGCTGGAGAACTTTTTCCAAGAAGTTCAATACCCCGACGTTGCGGCGCGGTAAGTGGCTTGCCCTGGAAGCGCCCAGTTCACTCTCTCTTCTGGAGAATAAAGCCGCGTAGGGTTCAAGGGCGACGGGTCCGCCCTTGCTTTCTGGGCGTGTGGGGGGAGGGGCGTGGAGGATGTAGAAAAGTAGGGCGGTACTAGCGTAAAGCGAATGAGGCACGGTGGGATCCTGACTAAAATTTTGGCGATTTGCTCATCATGGGGTGTTTCTGCATTCATTTTAAAGTTTTAATATTGCATTAAAATATAATTTGTCTTGATTATTAAGTTTTTACGCGCCGTTTGGATTTTGTGCGCGTGGTGAGCGCCTCACGGGGAGCGCACTTTTACAACCAGAGGGCGAACTTTTGAGCTTTCGGTAACCAGCGACCCCTTTCCGTCCCTAGCCTCACCGCACCCTCATCGTACCGATCCCGGTAGTGTACGAAGGGGCAGGCCCAGGCTGGAATTCCGGTCGGGGGCACCAAGACAGGTCAAAGTAGGGTTCCGGGGACCTTTCTGGCTTCGTCGTATTTAGCCTTCGCCCGGCAGAGAGCAAAACAGAATTTCCCCGAGGGCGCGCTTGGCCGATGTGGTTTGCAGTTCGCTCCTTGAGAGTTCACCTCTCCCTTTTACAATAAACAGAAATACTGTAGTTCAATACAGCTCTTTAAAGATGTTTGGCATTTCATTTATTTTCACGGACGGACCGCCCAAGGAAAGATTTCCAGGGTTGTTCTCTGCCGTTTCGTAAACAGAAAAATTAAGTCATATTCAGCTAACCATCAGGCGCTTTTATATATATTCCCGTTTTCTATCTTATTTAACAGCAAAGTTGTTCATGGGAAAACTCTCCCTAAAGCGAGCCCCAACCGTATTACAGAAAACGGCACGGAGGGGTGGGGGATAGAAATCATGTACAAATTTGAGACGGAGTCTCACTCTGTCGCCCAGGCTGGAGTGCAGCGGCACGATCTCTGCTCACTGCAACCTCTGCCTCCCGGGTTCAAGCGATTCTCCTGCCTCAACCTCCCGAGTAGCTGGGATTACAGACATGCGCCACCATGCCGGCCTAATTTTGCATTTTTAGTAGAGACGGGGTTTCGCCATGTTCGCTAGACTGGTCTCGAACTCCTGACCTGAGCTGATCCACCCGCCTCGGCCTCCCAAAGTGCTGGGATTACAGGCTTGAGCCACCGCACCCGATCACATTAATATATTTCATTTTATTCACAATTCCAAATACTGAACATTTGTAATTTTCTCCCCTCAGAGAGATACTTGCAGGACGCCTGGATTTGGCTGAAGATAGAGTGCAGGTCAGTAAATCTTGAAAACCAATTTGGCAGGACAGCCATTCTAAAGCATGCCTTAGGTTTTGTCCTGGACATTCTCAAGTTGGTGTTTTTTGTTGTTTTTTCTATGGCTGGCACATAAGTTCTGAACACTGGGTGCCTTACTGGTAGAAAATAGGATAAGTAAACTCCAGATTATAGAAATTGCTCATAAGCAGAGGAAATATGATTTCCTTTCTTCTACACCTGTTTATATCTGTCTCTCTCTCCATATATAATAATGTATACACATGTATATGTACATACACACATTTACATACACATATATGCATATGCATATGCATACATATGTAAATATATTCCAATAAATAAGATTGACCTCCTTCTAACACTGGTATCCTCTAGGGATAATGTTAGCTTTCCCTCAAGAATCACTTCTACATGGAGTCATGTTCAGGACTCAATCTGACCTGGGAAGTATCCAAATTAATGCACAGAAGAGCTGAGTTCTATAAGAAGGTTCAACTGTACTACATTATTTAAAATATTTAAAACCAAGCACAAGTACTTAGCTAAATGAGTGAATTTATATTTAGGCATTGGGATGAGGGAAGACTAATTCACACACAGAACACAATACTTAGTAGAGAGTGGTAGCCCTAAATTTTAATTTTTTGAAAGATTTTGATGTCAGCCTGAAAACATTGCTAACATATTGCAATTAAGTGGTAATGGGGGAAACATTTGTAAGCTTTGGGAAACTGTCTTTTAAAAATGAAACAAAATTAGCCGGGCATGCCTATAATCCCAGCTACCCAGGGACTGAGGCAGGAGAATCGCTTGAACCTGGGAGGTGGAGGTTGTGGTGAGCCGAAATCGCGCCATTGCACTCCAGCCTGGGCAACAAGAGCGAAACTCCTTCTCAAAAGGGAGAGAGAGAGAGAGAGAGAGACAGAGAGAGAGAGAGAGAGAGAGAGATTGAGATTTTGAATAAAGTCCCCTGACCTAAGAAGGGTGGAAAGGTTAGAGGAGAATTGTATACAGTCAAACATATGCATTACAGATGTCACACAAATTAAACTTTATGGAACTACCAAATGCATAAAAGACTGTTCACTTTTTTGTAAACATCTTAGAAAAAACATCTTAGATGTTTTATTCTTTTTGGTGATATTATTTTGAAAAATTGGCTTTTCTGGAATTTGATTGATTAGGGGGTTCTCTAAATTCAGACTAGATTCTTACCTGTGTTTATTTAAAATACCTTTTTCATTTACTCACACAGTGACGACTAATTGTGCAGGTCATAGGATCAAAAGGTGACTATTTAAAATTACAGAAAATCATAGCTGCATCAAGGATTTGCCAAAAAAATAAAAATAAAAATTAGAATGGGCTTGTTAGCTTTGCCTCAAGGTTTGTGTGTGAGTGCAGTGACCGAAATGCACTGCATGTCTGTGGGTGGTGTCTAGAAAAGCAGCCCAACAAAGCAGACCACTGAAAGTCGGAGTCTTGATGCCACAGGTCTAGCCTCAGGTTGGGATGTATGACGCATCCTCTGCCTCCTCAGGCAAGCAAGGTAAACTCAGAGGAAAACAAAAAGGGTTTCCTGAGTTGCTTTTTTCCCCTCTCTGGGTTTACATAGGCCTCTCAATGGATTTTTGAAGGAAAGAGCCGGAAAATACAAAGAAGGAAAAAAGACAATGTTCTCATCTATTTCCAAATTCTATAGCATGAATTTCCCCCAGGACACTTTTAATAGACACTCCCCCTTTTTCCTCTGAAAATATAGTAGACCTGTTTTATGAAATTAGTGTTGGGAATACGGACTCTATATGGGCCTATACCAAAATTTGCTGTTTGTTGGCTTTGGTTATGTTTAGGCAGGGGTGACCACTAGTATATTTGAGCCCCTCCTTCACTCCTCTAAGATGTTTTGGCAATAAGAAAATAGCTTCACCTGTTGCAGTTTAAAGTCTCAGTGGCATATAGAATTGCATGTTATGTTTTTTTCTCTTATGACGTTAACTGTTCGATACACTAAGCCAATTCATTTTTCCCCTCCGAAGGTTTGGTTTCAGAACAGAAGGGCCAAGTGGAGACGAAATCAGAGGATGCTAATGTTGAGAAACATGGCTGCTGCCCCCCTAGTCCCCCCTGTGGAGGTGATCTTGGGTGCGCCCTATGATGCTGTTCCTGTTCTGGATCCTGCTTGGTGTGTTAATCTGGCACCACAACCACCTAGACCACCTGTGCCGCCTATGCAACCCATGGCACCTATGCAAGCCAGGCCACCCATGGCAGGTATGCCAGCCAGGCCACCCATGCCACCTATGCCACCCGAACAACCCATGGCACCTATGCCACCTGGGCCGCCTATGCCACCCAGGGCACCCATGCCTTACATTGGCCTGGCTCCTGTAGGCATCACATGGGCCCCTGTCATCAATGGTTATTATGTAGGTCCCTTTTACTAAAGTCAAGTCTTCATGACAGTTTTTCCAAAGTTCTTTCCTGCCAGATAGAAATTGTGCACAGCACAGCATTATTTTGTTAGATAGTGGTTAAATGAATTGGATAGATGAACAAAGTTAATGAATGCACTGTTGTTTTTGTAGGCTGCATGACCATAGTATTTTCAATAAAGTTGTGACTTCATGGTTTCGGTTTTGGATGCCAAATGGGGTCAGTAGAATATGGATGAGAATTGCTAAGGGAATGCAATTTGAATAGAACGGTGAAGGGGCCTCTTCTCATCAGATAATATCCCTGAGTCACCATCAATATGCCCTGCACATCACAGAGTTTGCCAAGTGCCCATGATGGGTTTACACTGATCCACACCCCATCCTCAACCCCACCCTCCCCATTGGGAACATATATAAATGTGCAGGATGGGAAGAAGTGAGTCTAGTGAGAGAACAGTGCATTTCCAGGGAGGGCCACTTTGCAGTCATGCTAAAGAGCTCAGGCTAAAACATGGACTCTAAGAGAAACTTACTAAGACGCTACTCACAGGGCCTTGAGGGAAATGGGCAGGCAAATATGCATCTAGTACTCTCCAAATTCTGCTCACTACCCTTTTCCTTTTCTTCTTCTTTTTTTTTTTTTTTTTTTTTTTTTTTTTTGAGACAGGTCTTGCTCTGCCGCCCAAGCTGGAGGGCAGTTACATGATCATAGCTCGTTACACCCTTGATCTCCTAGGCTCAAGGCTCAAGCTCAAGGCTCAAGGCTTCTGCCTCAGCCTCCTGAGAGCTGGGACTACAGGTGTACCACCAAGCCTGGTTAATTTCTGCAAGTGCCCAGGCTGGTCTCAAACTCCTGTTCTTGAGCAATCCTCCTGCCTCCACCCTTCCAAAGTGCTGGGATTATAGGTATGAGCCACTGCACCCAGCCTGCCCTCCACTTTGTGGAGGAGATAGAGGAATAGGAACTATTCTGATTCAGAGGTTCTGCAACTTCAAAGGAAACACAAAAAGGGGCTCCATCAAGACCAGAAAGAGGTGCTCTCTCTTTTCTCCACCACTAGGCCAGGAGAACCTATTACTGTAGCTTCTCCAGCTAAGAAGTGGACAGTCACACCTTCCAGTATATTTTTCATCTTCAGCATCTGACAGAATCCTGGTTCCTGCCAAGTAAATTGAAAGGGAACCTTTTGGTTTAGTGCTGTTCAAAGCAAGAGATGGTCCCTGAACAATATTCCAGAATAATCATTCATTGAAAAGAAGCGGTCAGACCTTTGCTATGTCTGTACTGTCTTTATGCAAATCTGCCTAGGTAGAAAACAACAAAAACCAAAATGGGCGGGGTGGGCGGGGGGAATGAGGCCAGCCCACTATTTTTTAAACCTTGAACTTTTTCGTAGAACCTTTACTTTTGAGCAATTTCTAGCCATTTGCAGTAATTTTATCAACACATTTCATGCTATGAAATGATTGCAATAGCTTCAGATAAGAGTGTCATAGTTATACCAAATTTCTTCTCATAGGAGGTGGGCTGGAGGGGGTATCAAAGATAAGTTTCACAGTAGTTACATGCTCCCATTTTGAAGGGCAGCTCTGTTTTCTCAGGAAAGCACACCTTTTTTGAAGGGTTGCCTGGTACTTTTTTTTTTTTTTTTTTTTTTAGGCAGAGTTTTGCTCTTGTCACCCAGGCTGGAGTGCAGAGTTGTGACCTCGGTTCACTGCAACTTCCGCCTCCCAGGCTTAAGCGATTCTCCTGCCTCAGCCTCTGGAATAGCTGGGACTACAGGTGCCTGCTACCATGTCCAGCTAATTTTTTGTATTTTTAGTAAAGATGGGGTTTCACCATGTTGGCCAGGCTGGTCTCAAACTCCTGACCTCAGGTGATCCACCTGCATCAGCCCCCGCAAAGTGCTGGGATTACAGGCATGAGCCATCGCATGTGGCCTGCCTGATACATTTTATTCCTTTCTTCTCTCCCTTCACACATACGGATGTCAAGCATCAGCAAAGCAGTTAGTCTTAGATTAGATTATATCTAAGATTTCTCCAGGAAGGAGGTCGTTACCACCCCAGAGGTCCCAGGCTCTGATGGGAGTGAGGAATATCCAGGAATGCATCTGTGATGCCCATTGCCATCCTCACTGGATGATTTTGAAACTCAGTCTTTCTTATATCCCACTGTTGAACTTTTCCCTTTTGTTAATATCAGGTTTCTCAATGCTTTAACGTCCTCTTGGAGCTATAGGATCTGTAGAAATAAAGGTGTCAATATCGCGTCCAGCCTTGCCACCCTGAGACTCAAAGCCAAACAGCATCCAGCACATAAATCTCACAGTTAATTCATATCCAATCTGACACACACAAACGTAGAACATTTTTTTCATCTCAGGTAGCCTGGAAGAAGCAAAAATGTGAATATCTTTTTGCATATGTGAATAGGGTCTTCGAGAGATATTTATACTATTTTCAAGTCATATCTACTTCTTCCAGGCTCCAGATGATTTAAGGAGGGATAGTGGGATGGGGACAGGAAATGTGCAAAACGTTCCTGCATCTAAAAACTTCCTCTTAGCCAGGCACGGTGGCTCACATCTGCAATCCTAGCACTTTGGGAAGACAAGGTGAGAGGATCACTTGAGCCCAGGAGTTAGAGATCAGCCTCTATAACATAAAGATCCCATCTCTACAAAAAAAAAATTAATAATTTAGCTGGGTATGTTGGCACATACCTATAGTCCCAGCAACTCAGTAGGTTGACATGGGAGGATCACTTGAACCTGGGAGGTTAAGGCTGCAGTGAGCTGTGATTGAACCACTGCACTCCAGCTTGGGCGACAGTCTAGGTTTTAAAATGAAGAGGTCTACAATACTCTCAGAAAAAGCATCTCTCTCTCTCTCTCTCTCTTTAGGTACAGGGTCTCACTCTGTAGCTAGGACTGCAAATCCATGTCACCACAGCAGGTTAATTTTTTTCGTTTTGTTTGAGATGGAGTTTTTTTGCTTTTGTCACCCAGGCTGGAGTGCAATGGTGGGATCTCGGCTCACTGCAACCTCCACCTCCCAGGTTCAAGCAATTCTGCCTCAGCCTCCAAAGTAGCTGGGATTATAGGCATGTGCCACCACGTCCAGCTAATTTTTGTATATTTTAGCAGAGATGGGGTTTCACCATGTTGGGCAGGCTGGTCTTGAACTCCTGACCTCCAGGGAACTGTCCGCCTCGGCCTCCCAAGGTGCTGGGATTACAGGCGTGAGGCACCATACCTGGCCTGCTAATTTGTTTTTTAAAATTTTTTGTCAAGATGAGGTCGCACTCTGTTGCCCAGGCTGGTCTCAAACTCCTGGCATCAAGCAGTCCTTCTACCTTAACCTCCCAAAGTTTTGTGATTAGGGCATCAGCCACCATGCCTGGCTCTTAAACAGCATTTCTCTTAAAGTTCATTGCAAATTCCCTAAGGCATGGATAAGAATTATTGTCATATAAGGAAATTAATTTATAAAAAGTGTTTAGAAATTGGCTCTTGGCAAATAATGTTTACCTCTGATAGATAGTCTTTGCAGATATTAGTTTTGACTGAAAAGTTGTGAAAGTGATCTCAGGAAGGGTGCAGGAGCTTCAGCATTGTACAATAATCTAATAATTCTGGATATGCTCTTGTTTTCTAAAGTTGCTTCACATTGAAAAACATATGCCAAGGAGCTTTCACAATAGTAATTTTTACGGTCAAATTAAGCAGAGAGAAGGTGAGCTATTAGGGGGGACAAGAAGCCTCTTCGATTAAAACTAGATTTATATAACTTGGATCTGGTTTCAAACAGATGTCATTAGAACTTAGAGATATAACTTGGAGGTACCTGAGAATCAAAATTCTAAGCCATTACTAGGACTACAAATACTTAGAAAAAAAGGGCAATGAAGGAAGGGACTAGAAATCCTTTAGCTGAGAATACAAGGGTCTCTTTTTAGATAGGTGTGAAAGGTGGCTTCTTAAAGGGAGAAATTACTGTAAATATATACAAAATAGGAGAACAGAGTTTGATTTGATTTTTTTTCAAAAGAACAGACATTTACCTGAATTCTGACCATGGGGTGTTATATTTAAAATTGGGCATGCTTTGAGCATATATGGATGTATTGTTTTTCTACCCAATCATTGGGCGCTGGTAGCTCTAGGAATTGTTGAAAACATGAAGGTAAAATATGGTGCTTAAATAGAATCCTGGCCAGATGCAGCAGTTCGCATCTATAATTTCAACACTTTGGGTGGCTGAGGCCAGAGGATTGCTTGAGGTCAAGAGTTTGAGACTCTCCTGGGTAACATAGCAAGACTCTGTTTCTACAATTTTTTTTAAAAAATTATCCTGTAGGCCCAGCTACTTGGAAGACTGAAGCAGGAGGATGGGTTGAGCTCAAGAGTTTGAGGCTGGCCGGGCGCGGTGGCTCAAGCCTGTAATCCCGGCACTTTGGGAGGCCGAGGCGGGTGGATCACGAGGTCAAGAGATCGAGACCATCCTGATCAACATAGTGAAACCCCGTCTCTACTAAAAATACAAAAAATTAGCTGGGCATGGTGGCGCATGCCTGTAATCCCAGCTACTCAGGAGGCCGAGACAGGAGAATTGCCTGAGCCCAGGAGGCGGAGGTTGCGGTGAGCCGAGATCGCGCCATTGCACTCCAACGTGGGTAACAAGAGCAAAACCCCGTCTCAAAAAAGAGAGTTTGAGGCTGCAATGAGCTATGATTATACCATTGCACTCCAGCCTGGGCAACACAGCAAGACCCAGTCTCTGAAAATAAATGAATAAATACATAAAAATTGAGTTCTTTACTGGATTTCCTAATTGATAAATCCAACTTTGTCTAGTTCAAATTTCTGTAGCCCAGGGACTCCTACTGATGGAAGTAGGGGAGTTAGTTAGTACAAAGTGGTGCCTAGACCTTGGAGCAGGGCTCTCAAACCTTGAGTAGAGGCTGTCTGTAGGCAGTAGATATCATAGCATAACCCTTTCCACAC